TCTACAAGCCTTCTCTTCCATTACATGTTGTGCATTCAGACAAAAATTTGGATCAGCATAAATTCTATAATGTATTTTTATTACACTCTGATTGCTTTAATATACAGTGAATATATACTAAACCTTTTACTTCAGCTTATGTAATTCGGAATTTTTGACGGAATTGTTGTCAGAACTAGGACGTAGAAGATAAGATAAATTAAATATTCATCTCATACCTTCAAAATGTTTAGCCTCTAAAGACTGATAAAGGCTCTGACCAAATACTGATGAAATGGATTGAATTGGATTATTAATCCATTTCATCAGTATTATTTCATTCTCGCGATTTCAAAAATAAAATATTTGACTAAAATATGAATAACATTTTAAGAAACCAAATGTAGGATAAAATTGTGTAAAGCAATAGGCACAATGATAAAACTGTTTAAAGCAGTGTATGCAAGTCATCCTAAGTTAAAATGTCGGTTATACATCTCTCTTATTTATATATAACTTTTCTGAACGGAACATTGAAAGGCATGTTAACTGTGCTTTACTGTATTTTCTCTTATATATGCAGTTTTCAAACGCATCATAGTCTGGGTTACAAAGTATTCTTCCGAAAGAAACGTAATTCAAATAAATAAAATTAAATTTATATTAATAAATATATTTAAAATGCTCAGTTGGAAGGAATAAATAGAAAATTTTAAAATAATTATCTGAACAGACAATGTAACACTAACAATTAAAATAAAATTTAAAAATTACCTAAAATAGTAACTTTGACTAAAAATATAGTATAAAGAAAACTATTTGAAAAAAAAAATAATAATAAACGATGCACCTTTGATTTAAACTATGCAGTTCGAATGAGTAAATAGAAATTTTTAAAACAGTTATTTGAAAGAAACCATGCAACTTAAACAATTAAAATGAAATTCGAAAAAGAAAAAAAATTGCTAAAAATTAATAACAATTATAGTTAAAAATATAATATAAAGAACATTATTTGAAAGAAGGAACAATTGGGTCTTTTTTCCTATGTAAAAATGGAAATGAAAATAGGTTGCCACATATTAAGAAGTTCGCCAAGTGAGCTAATTTTGGCGCAAACTGAATAAAAAGTGCCAACATAAATTGTTGAATTTCTCCGTAAATTTCGCGCCAAATTTTACAAAATTTAATATTTAGGCATAATTTGAGTCGTAGAATCGAAATATGGAAAAAAATTAGTATGTTACTTCAGAAAAAGTCTGATTTCATGTCAAAATAACTATAGAGTAGAGCTATATATAAATCTAATATATATCCTAAGTCGCGCTTTTGAGACATGAAGAACGCAATTTGAATTTTGTCAGTCGGCCCAGTAGAACGGGAGATATAGAACTGTCCCCCCTTTTTTTTTAGCAGTGTACATGTGCAATGCTCTTATTTTTTTGAAGTCATTCATTTTAAGACTTTTTTCAGGCTTTCAAACAATTGTATACTGAACTGACAGGCGAATATGTGTCTGACTGATAGGAAAGACACAAAAACAGTTTACATAAAACAACAGGTCACGAAAAATCACACCTGACCGTATTGCTTTCCCACTTAGCAGATGATACAAATATTAAACGATATTAATATTAAATATATATTATAGTATATATGTGTGTGTGTAAGAAAAATAAAGAATATGTAAGAGATTAAATTAGCAGCGTAAATTAACACTTCAATACACATGATTTTTTATATTTTTACCAAACATTTTTTTCTTCAGAGTCGGCTTAAATAAAACAGGGAAAAATATTTTTAAAAAAATTATTTAAAATTTTTTATTGGTTACTTTTTGAATTTTTAGTTTTGATGCATATATGCATCATTATGCATTTAGCATTAAAATGTAAAACACAGGAAAAATTCATTTACAATAATATAATTAATAAATATTGGCATAAAATACTTAATTGTTTAATGTTCTTAGAAGATAATGGCTTTAATTGAAATTTTAGTGAAACTTAATTCTAATTAATCGTGTTCAGACTTTATAAAAATTAAAATTGTGATGAAAATTTAAATAAAAATAGTATATCAAATATTTTGTATATATACATTTATTGCACAATTTATGTTGTATGATAAATTTTTAAACAATTTCTATCCTTATTTAAACATAATGTTACAGTACATTTTTCACATCCAATAAATGTTTGTAATTTGGAAACTGGCATTTTGCATCGAGTGCGGTTTTTGTTCCACATGGGACTATGTTGAATTTTATCCTGTCTGATGCAGGTTGGAGGAATGTTTGATGCAGGGTCTCTCTGTCTTTTTCCATTGTAATCATTTTGTAAAAGACTGTTTGGTCTTCCATGCTTAGGAACTGAACTTTCACCCATTTTGCACAGTCCAACGGATAACTCAACCTAAAGGCGGCCAGATTTAGCAAATCCTTGGGGTTGGCTCCATTCTGTAGAGACATCCTTTTGTACAGCAGCCATGCATTTATGACTGCAAGGTCTAAAAAGTGGTAAAAAAGTCTCATATACCCCTTTTGTGATTCAGAGTTATTTTGTATCTTCCTATGTGGCTATCTGAGAAATCTACGCCCAGCCTCATATGCTGTATCGTTTCACAAGATTTGGGTAGTTCACAGTAACTGTCTCTTTTTTTCTTCCTATCGATTCTAAATATCTGTCCATTGGGATGTTTCCCAGCAAATGTAGACAACAGGAGCACATTCTTATTATTGTTCCACATTAAATGACATATTTCAATTCCACCACAGTCTGCAACATATTCAATGATTGTTCCCCTCCATTCTTTCTTCATTTGCTTATCTGGAGGGAGCTTGCAACCTGGAATTCTGTTCTCATGCACAGTTTCCAAACAAAGAATACTCTCATCAGCTAAAGACTTCATTATGTTAACTGAAGTATAAAAGTTGTCGAAATACAATTTGAAATTTTGATTTCGAGGAATCTCTCTACAAAGTCTAATCACAACATTTCTACTGGTGCCCAATTCTGCCTCATTTGCTAAGCGATTGTGAGGTAGATTTTTTTAGCCTGAGTGTACCTCAGACTTGTGAGCAAATCCATTGAATCCACATAAAAAATGGTTTGAAAGGAATTACCCACTAAATGAACATAAATAAACAAAATCAAAGAAATTTTCAATACAAACAAACAATATACATATTACAGAATTAGAGACATAAAATTAATATAAATAACAACATTACATGCAAATATTGAGTGGGTATGGCTGATATAAAAATAAGCATGAAATAAAAGGTGTTTTAAGTCTTATAATTTAAAATTCACTCTAAATTTTAACCTGATTCATATATGCATCAAACTGTACTGTAGAATGAAGCCTAACCATAAATGCATAGTGATGCATATATGAATCAAACAGAAAAATTGAAATATTTCGTTCTAAAACAATTAAGTGGTTAAATCTTAACATAGAAATGAAAAGTACATACCTTCAGCTATAAAGAGAAAAATTTTTATGCCTTTAATATTGAATTTATGAATAACGCAAAGCTAGTTTGACCACTGAAAAAACAGAAATGAATTCTGTGTTTTTGACACTAATGAAATAAAGAGTACAGTTTTATGCTGCAATCTATTAGGAAAAAGAACAGCTAAGCAATGATATGGATATATTAAGATAACAATCAGCTCAGTAAACCATCTGCTTTGTAATTTTTTTAATGCTAAATTTAGTAAAAATTGGTATGCTTCATATATGCATCACCATGCATTGAAGGGTTAATTTCCCTTCTCTATTCTAAGAATAGCAACATCTATTTGCACTGCATCATTTCAAGAAAAACCCGTATCATATGACTCTTACGTAATTCTGATGATGTAAATGAAACTAAAACTCAAACAGCCAACACTAATTTTACAGTAATATTAACTGTCCAATCAAAATGCCTTGAGAACCAAAACTAACTCAGTCTGAATAAGATTTCATCCTGAAAATAACGCACTTTCCTTCGCTTTGCCTTAGCTTGACTGTAGTCTGTCTGCTCCTTCTTTTTGCTGCAAATCAATCAAAAATGTAAGCCTTTTGGAACAGGCACATTTAATGTGCTGACTTGTGTATAGCTGCAACAGGTTGCTGAAAATAAAACTGAAAATTTAATCTGCCTTTGCCTCCAATTTCCTAGTCATTACGGATAAACACTTCTATGCCATCAAAATTCCTGCTTCTGGGAATTGCTTCCGAGTTTGAATTTTATTACATATATATATATATTATATTTTTGAAAGAAAGATGGTGCCAAAATATAATTTTCCAAATGTGTTTTCATTCATGACGAAATGAATTCATCATGAAAGGTTTGGTTTGGTTTATTTAATTACGGCAAAGCATACTAGGGCTATCTGCCTAAGGGGAGGGATGCCTTCGTGGAGGACGTTCTAAGAGAAACGGGCTTGTATACACGTTACACATGGGAAAAACCATGAAAATGCCCATGCAGCCAGCCCATTCGTGGGATTCAAACTTCTGACCGAACTACCAGTGTTCAGCGACTTTACCTCTCGGCCGCTGGTGGGCCATCATGAAAGGATGGATGGACAAAAATAGTGTGAAATTGTGGATAAGAAATGTCTGGGAAAATCATTCTGTTGCCTTAAAGAATAGTTTAGTTTAAAGAATCTTTTATTTTGGGACATTTTCAAATCTAATGGATAATACGAGGACACTTCTAAAGAGCGTAATATAGACATGGCCGTTATTCCAGCGGGATTAATGCCATTAGTTCAGCCTTAAGATATATGTATCAATAAAACATTCAAAGAAAATTTAAAGTGACAGTGAACTACATGGATGTTAGAAAGTGAAAGAACATTTAGAAAAGGAGGCAGCTGTGGCATGCCAGTCTAGAAATAGTGCATGAGTGGATAATAAAAGCATGGAATGAAATTAAACCCAATGTAATTCAAAAGTTATTTTAAAAATGTAATATTTCTAATAATCTAGATGCGATGGAAGATGATTATTTAATTTTGAATCAGAGTAACATTGATGGTGAAGATGAAACAGAATTCGATGACGTGGCTGAAGCTATAACAGAAGACAAACAAACATTTCATGTTATCCAATAATAAAAATTTTTTTAAGTTCATAAGCTATGTCATTTCTTTTAAAACAAAGAGCACTTAGGCACATGTAGAAATCTAATTTTTGTATGCTTATTTTTTCCGAATTTTTAAATTTATCATTTTTATATTCAGCGTATAACATGCAGCCACAAATTTCAGTCTTATTTTCTCTGTTAAAAGTATGCATTATATGTTCGAATATATGGTACAATATTTTTTATTTAATGAATATATATAAATTAGCTATTCTTCATCTAATATTTATTCATTTTAAAACTTCTTAATTCTCTGGATTTTGAAAATATCTCTCATCATACTTAGTAAATTCACTACTGAGTAGCATGTATTTGTAACCATGTATCAAAAGTTCACCATAATTTATTTCCTGAAGTGAAAATTGAAGAGATTCAAGCAATATTATTGTAGTGCATATTAGAATTTAATACAATGTCTCTTAGGGATTTTTTAAACATAATCCAAAATCATAAAGAAGGTTCAAGAAGCTTTTGATAATACACTACTGTTATACAAAGCAAGATTTATTAAATATTTCTCCAAGTTTCACGGAAAGTCACCAAATGTTATCTGTAGTATCAGTTTATTGAAAAATTAACAAGTGTCAATACACATATTTGATAATTTAATTAGCTTTCCGTAATCAGAGGTCCAACTGTAACCATGAAAATATGTATTTCAGTGTCAGAAAACTGATTTTTAATGACAAAAAATGATTAACCTTGGATATTGATTAAGTAATTTTGACTGAAAGACTGAGACAAAGTAAACTGAGACAAATACTGAGACAAAGTAAAATCTATGCCAAAGTTCTTGATGTGTAAATAGCAGGCATTATACATCAAAAATACACTGAACTAAATTAACCAAAAACATAACTTTGTGAAGAAAATACTAAATAATGATGAATGATGAGTAAAAACTTTAATTTCAGCTTTTATACTGGAAGTAATCAAAACCATAGAGTGATGGTCATGTTATCAGCCCTTGAGTGACATCATGCTGTTAATGCAAACTATTTATTATACAAGAGCTCAAAATGTTAATAAATTAAAAATGACATCATTACCTCAAAACTACATTTCCTGGCAATGCCAAAGAAAGAAGCAATATTCCCCCTTCTGTTTCACATTGCACCGTAATTTTAGAAAAGTGTAGATAAAATAATATTAATATTTTTTATCATTTTTGTTTTAGAAGAGGGCGAAGAGTTCATTTTCTAATCTGTGAAAAGTTCAAAATTGGAAATATCAAACAGCTGTAAAAAATTGAGCGGTTTTAAAAAATTTACCAAAAAAATTAGAAATGACATCAAAATTTTGATACAAATTTATTTAAATGGTTTTTTCGCTCCCTTCGATGGTACAAAAAGTAAATTTCAGAGATATTTTGTTTATTTGTTAGACAAAGATATATGGGAAAAATTTTTTGTTAAATTAAAAAACATCTAAAGTGAATTTTGAAAAAATCCTTGATCCTAACATCTTGAAGAATTTACCATCAAAATCAGAAAATTAATAAAATAATTCAAAAATTGCAATTAGATATTCATATGCAAATTCCATTTTGAAAGAAATAATTTAAACCAAATAACTATAAGAAGCCTACCAGAAAAATTAAGATACAGAAATGAAATCATACATTTGGAACAAGCTATTCAAAATGTCAGCAATAGAAAAAAAGAGAAAAATTTGTTATGATACTATTCTGTCATAAATTACTGCTACATGCATTTATGTAATAAAAAAAAGACTTCATTATTCAAGATAAGTTCTTCCCACTGGATCAAGGTTTGCAACAAATATTTCTTCTAAGTTAAGTGCCAATACTATCTTGCCAAGGTACCAAATCCACAAATTGAAAACAAACACCTAGAATAGAATTTCTTTAAAGTGTTCAGTCATGAAATTTTTTTAATTAAAAGATAAATGAGTTCATGATTCTTTAGCAACCAAATTTAAAACTATTTCCTAAGCAGGCCTAAATGTTATGAAATTAAAAAATGCAATTTAAAAGTTCATTTATTCAGAATTATTAAGAATAACTTAATTCTTTCAAACATTACAATAAAATAATTAAGTACATACATTTAGTTTACTTCCAGATATTTCTTGATAACATCTCTGGCTTCTTTAATAATTTCCAGAAGCTGACTATTTTTTTTATCATACTTGTTGAGATTTCCCAGAAGATTTAATTCCTTTTCCAGTTGTTCTGCTTTTTGCTCTAACTCTTCTATTTGTCTCTCTTGTAGCAAGCACTGAAAACATGCATGAAAAAAATCTATTGGGACTATTTTTATGCATGAACAAAACAGTAGCCAAATTTAGTTACAGAATTTCTAGTAAGGTTATTTTGTTGTTAAATTAAACATGAATTAAGAAGATTAAAAGTGAAAAGAAAAAGTGAATTTTAAATAAGATCAGCATACTACATACAAAACTAGAAATAAAATTTTATAGTATAAGTATAAAATATTGCAATGTGATAAATTCATGCTGTATTGGAATATGATAAATATATTAGAATGTGATACTGTTTGGATAGGACTGAATTATTTATTTGTGACCCCTACCTGCCTAAGGAAAGAGATGCCTTCATGGATAACTTTTTAAAAGAAAGTTGCTCATATTCAGGATGGATATGGGAAAAGCCACAAAAATGTTCATGCAACCCATTCACTGGGATTTCAACCCAAGTTATTCAGCTGTTTTATTCACTTGGCTATTGGTGGTTTAATAGTATTTGGATATATATATACACACACATACATACATATATATATATATATGTGATCTACCAGCTTTTGTCCAGAAGAAATAGATTGGTGAAGAAACATAGATGCAGTCGTAGCTTAAATTATCAGACGATAAGTTTAAAAAACAGGATAACAGGTTCCATTTATTATTGGTCAAGAGAAATAGCAGTTACAAATGTCAGATTACCGAAGTAAATAAAAAAAAACAACTAATAACTTTTTGTATGAAGTTTACTGCATCATTACATTAAAGGAAAGACTCCAATATTCCTTTGCGAGTCCTTTTATAGCCTCTGGAAAGACGGAGCTTCCAAGAAATGACGTCAGCCATTCCACTTCACTTTAAATATCTCTAGAACATTCTATAACAGTACGTGTAGAAAAGGCGGGAAAAACAACTTGACTACGGGGCTGTGGATTAAATTCCACGTACTTTCAAATAAGAGACCGTCGTCATTAAAAATGAAAAGAACGTACAGTTAGAATTTTAAGTATATTTTTGACTACGAAATTTTATTATTATAAAATATATATATATATTCGCACTGTAATGTCACTGACTGGAATAGAATAGTCTTCAGTGATGAGTTCCAATGAACAGCAAAGGCGAGTCTGGAGATGCCCCAGACAGCAGTGTAATACCAACCTGACTGTCTTCCGGCAGACAGGCCGACAACCAGGAGTGATGGTCTGGTGTGCCATTTCATTTCATAGCAGGACCCCTTTGGTTGTCATCCTCGCAACCTTACAGCACAGCGGTACATCAACGAAGTTCTAAGGCCCATTGTGTTGCCCTTCATGTCATGCCACCCTGGGTTCACATTTCAGCAAGGTAATGCTGGCCCCACACCGCACATGTTTCTACTGCTTGCCTTAGTGCTTACCGACATTACGTTGGCCAGCAAGGTCGCCAGTTCTCTTTCCTATTGAGCACGTTTGGAGCACTATGGGCAGGGACCTTCAACCAGCTCAGGATGTTGACGATCTAACGTGCCAATTGGACAGAATTTGGCCCGATATCCCTCAGGAGGACATCCGCACCTCTGTCAATCGATGGCAAGCCGAATAACTGTTTGCATAAGGGCTAAAGGTGGGCAAATGCATTACTGACTTTTTCACTTTGTAAATCTCTATCACTTTAATAAATCATCCAATTTTTTTCAAACTATAATCATTTGTTTTTCTGTACATGTACATCACTTCTACCGATTTTCGTCCCATTTGGATAATTCCTTCTTGGTGCGTCGTTTTTTTTTTTTTTTTTTTTTGTCCAAGAGTGTATACATAAAGCATAAACATTCCATATATTTATTACCTACACACTCTCATCTAATACATTAAATGATATTTATTATGGCTTATACTCATTCATAATGCAATCAGAAAAGGAACTGGACTATGGCAAACCATAATAGGACAAATGACCTAATGTAAATGATTAAAGATGTCTTCACAGAGGACTTTCTGATATATATATATATATTTCTGATGATGAATTATTCTATATTTTCATATAAATTTCATTTCAGCTTATATGAGAAAAATTTTATGCAATCAGTCTTTTCAGTTGCTAGGAATAGAAAACAGCAGACAGCTACCAGTGTTTTGCAGCTTTAACCATTTAGATATTGGTTATTGAAGATAAATTTTGAATATCTGCATTCATGTTGTATTTAATTTAAAAACAAATATTTATTTTGAATGAATTAAAACTGTATTATAAACTCAACAAAGCTTTAATTCAAAAGCAGGGGAAAAAAGCACAAAAGTATATAGTTAAAGGTCAGTTATGAATGCAAGATCATAGATTAAATGGAAGATGAACATTGCCATAAAGAACAAAATTAGACAAAATTGCAATCTTAGATTGTTATGGACTTCAAATAAAACTCTTTTTGAAGACAATCATATACCCTTCTTCAGGAATAGACTTTTGTTTTTCAAAAATCTCATTTTTGAAACCCCCGAATTTTAAACTAACTATAAACCCAATTTTACCCACCTAGTTACCAATTTTTAAACAGATTATAAATCTATAAAGGCAGGATGATTTTAATTCATGCATGCTTCCATATTAATTATAATAGAGACAAAAACACAGTGGCTATAACCAGGAATCTTGTTATTTCTTTGGAGTATAATTGAAATTAATTATGCAGGGATATTCTTGAAAAAAAGAAACATTATTTACTACATTTGGTTTAAACAAGTTATATCTAAAATAACAAACAGTGTAGTTATTAAAAGTTAAATTTCTTTAGCATTATACAGTTTTTTCCTTGTTTGACACTGTTATAAAACACCAATAGATATCAGTTTTCAAGTAACTCATTTGAGTTAATTAAAAGCTAAAAAACCAATAGTTTACCATTATGTGCAAAATAGAATTATAAAGTTCTAGAAAATTTTAAGGCAGGGGAAGATACTGGTAATTACTTATATGATGGAAAGAAAAATATTGGTAATAATAACTTAAATAAACAAATTTTTGTAAAACATAAATATTAACTATATTATTATAGGAATGAATTATTTTATTATATCAAAATTGATTACGATTATCTGCTCATGACTGCAGAGGGATGCCTTTGGACTTCCTCATGGAATGTAACCTACGTTTATGATGCATATGAGAAAACTTCCTATAGACAACCCATTCAATCATTTAGTATATAACCTAAGATGGCTTGCAGTATTTCAAATCTTTAGCGACCCAGCCACTAGTTGATCTTAAATTATTGTAGTGTATTATTCTCAGAATATTGCAATGAACAGCATTTTTATAACAGATGGTATTCCACAGTATAATACACATGGAAATAATCTATCAGTTAAAGTAAAATTAATAATTAAGCAATATAATCTAGAAAATACCTCACTGATTAAAAATACTACACTGAAAAATGAATTTTTATCATTTGAAGTCAATATTTATAAGTAATACAAATCTATTCACTCTGATATTATTTCCTAAACAAAAAATATCTGTTTATATCTATGCGGGCTCAACATAAATGAAATAGCACAGATTAGTATTAAGTTTATCCAGAAAAATGAGGTGAAAAATAATGAAAAAAGCAACACAAAACAACTTTATATATTATATTTTCTCTCTGATTTCAGTATTTAAACAGAATTAAAGAAAAAAAGGATGATTAAAGAAAAAAGGATAGATGCATATTAATATCAGAGTTAGTCTTTTGAATGTGTAAACATTTCTATAATTGGAAGCAATCCTTTATGAAATGCAGATTCACATTTCTCAATTTCGTTTCTTTAATTCTGAAGTTCCGTAAAGATCATATGTTAATTTCAAATATTTATTGCTTCTTACGAGTGAAAAAATATGTTTCATATTTTGCATATTTTTCATAAATATTACTCTCTTATTTCATGTTATTAATTTATTCAACTTAAAGTATTAGTTATATGCAGTGACATGGCTGGTACAAAGGGGTGGGAGGCAGTCTAGCCTAGGTGGCATATTTTTGGATACTATTTTTCAAGTGAAATATACCATAGGGGCTGGTCAAATGGATCTTCTTAGCAGAAAGAAAGCTTGGAATTTATTGGATTATAGCAGAGCTCGGTATGGTTATTAGTCTAACAAGCCAGATGTCTTCATAGAAGGTTAAAGTTCTCTGCAAAAGCTTAAAAGAAGGTAGCTACCTCATACTCATTTTAAAATGGGCTCATATTCAATTTAGAAAAGAGGCACTGGCTCACATTCAAATCATGCATGCATGAATACAATGTTATATACTTTATATTACACATTAAGGAAACCAGCCCATTATGTAGAATCTAATTCCCAATAGAACTACCAGCATTCACATAACCACTTTGTCCTTGATTAATGATCATGAGATGCTGAATTGTTATACAAAACTGAATTAAGAAAAGAATAAACTGTCTTTAAACTGTATAGTGTATTCAATGAAATTAGAGACTTCAATAGTTTTTTTTTTTTTTTTTTTTTTTTTCCTGTTACGCCTTCCTTACTCTATTGAAACTTTCAAATTCAAAATACAAAGATCTATTAAGTTATGATCTCAATGAGATAAATAACAAAGAGTTTGGGAAAAAAATAATAATATAGAATATAGGAATTAAAGTTTTAATTCAATAATATTACTAAGAACTTTTATTTTTTCCCCTATGTGCCATTTTATAGGTTTGATTTTCTGGTGTGCATTGAGAGGGATACCAGAAGTTATAGCTATGCCACTGGTTATATGCTATAATTACTGTGAAATATGTAGAATATTTGAGTTTTTCTTACATTCAATAAACCACGCAGGACATTCCAGCATTAATCAATCTGTTGCACTGCTGAATACTATACATACTTGTAAATTGTTACTTGTGTATAATTACTTATATTATCACTTGCATAGTTTTACTTGAAATTATTAATATGCTATACTTGTAAATTATTCACTTAACATCAACTACAGTTCTTAATGTAGAACTTGGTATGATACTGCTTTTCTTTTAAAGTTTTATACATTCTTAATAAGATAATTAAATAATAAGGTTAAGTAATAAAAGATTTTAACAAAATATTTAATGATGTATATACAACATACCTTAATAAGGATTTTAATAAAATTAATAAGGATTAATAAGGATTTTAAAAATCCTTTAATAAGGTACTTACCTTATTATTTTTAAAAATAATAAGGTACTTACTTACCTAATTATTTTTAAAAATACTGAAATACAGAAAATATTTTATAAAATATTTAGAAAACAAAATTTCATTTTGAAGAAAGTCAAACTTACATATCTTTTATTTTCACAATATACTATATTAATCTCCATGAAGAATAAGGGAATAATTTATCTTATTATACAAATAAAATTACCAAATCAAAGTTGCCTGATATTTCTTATTGAGTTTTTCAGTTATTTTCACAATTAATAACATTACTTTCTAAAGTATGCTACCTTCAAACAGTATTAATCTGAATTAAAATTTTTAAGGTTACACATGTGTTGTTTGAAATATTTAAAATCATATAATTACTTTTTTTCTGAAACTCTGAAGTTCTTTTTGGATATTCTTTTCTGCTTCCAGCTGGATAATCATCTTATTATTTTGCACAAAATTAAGTTTACTGATATCTTCAGTTGTAGGCTCTTTCAATTCTTTCAACTAAAATTAAAAATTTAATAAGATGCACAAAAGAGATACTCAGAAACTCAAGGAAAAAACATTAATTGCAAACTCCCTAACTTGACACAATAGATAGAGATAAAATAAATGTCAAAAGATACACACAAGACTGATATAAACACATGTAAGAAAATAGAAGCAAAATTTTGAAAATAATTTTCATTAGTGAATGAATTAGATCCTTTTTCAAGGACTGTTTCTTCAGTACAAATGTTGTACAAGTTGTACTAAGTAAAAATGCATTATTTAAACATAATAAGTAAAAATATAAAATTAAAGAAGTAATTAAAGTAGAATAAGTAAAAAGAGTTCTTATCAAAGTAGAGTAGTAAAGTATTAAAGTAGAGAGTTCTTATTAAAGTAGAATAAGTAAAAATGCACTATAAGAGCAAAAATCTATTATTTAAATAATTTTAACAAAAATAAATAAACAAACAAAATAAACATTTCAATTTAATAAATAGTTTATTAAATTGAAAATAGTTTATTCAATTAATGAAAAACATAAAAATTAACTCTGTTTTACAATACTGAACTGCCAGCATAAGATTAGAGTTTAAATGTAGAGAATTAATTCCTTAATTAGCCAACAAAATTTAAGGAAGTATTGGGCCTGATATATTACTTGACCATCAGTACAGTGCTTATTGAGTCGATTACACAACAGTTCTATGAATAAAATAGAAAAGTTACATTGTCCTACTTCATTAATTTATTGATGCAAAGCACATGAGAATTATTTAAGTAAAAAAAGATGCCTTCATTGAGGACTTCTTGAAAAAAACTCGCTTGTACTTTTATTATACATATGGATAATCACATAGATTACATGCAGCCAGCTCGTCTACTGGAATTTGAACTCAAGATGAATTACATGTGTCCATAGCATTATCCATTCAGTTGTAAGTGGGTTTGCATTATCCTAATGGTTTATTATCTCTGTTCCGGAAACTGTCTCCATTTAGGAACAAAATATTTGAATAACACTGCAAATGGCACACAATGATATATGTGTACATTGTTTCTAACATGGAAAACAGCAAATGCATTAAAAGTCCTTGCAATTTAGTCAAATGCATTAAAAGTTCTTGCAATTTAGTCAAATGCATTAAAAGTCCTTGCAATTGCAGCCCTTAAACAGCTCTTACAAATTTGCAATCATTGGGTGGCTTAACCATATACAGTCAAAAGTCGTTAATCCGGACTCGTCGGGACTTCGGCGATTCCGGATTATCGATTTTTCCAGATTATAGATCACCAGTTTAAATCTGGCAAGATGGCATGCAGAAATTATAAAATTAAAAATATGAAACCGTAATTTATGAAATAAAGAACAATTATGACCTAAACGGTATCAAAATTTACAAAAAAAAAAAAAAAAAAAAAAAAAAAAAAAAAAAGCTTAATATTTATTTGTTTATTTCATTAAACATTTCTTTCAATGTAAGTTGTTTAAGTTGCTTCATTTTTTATGTGATAATACATTCTCTTCAATTCTTTAAACAGACATAATTTCTTGTTCAGTTACAAAGTTCCGCTGTTCAAGTCCTATAATTGCTGTGTCGAGAATACCGACAAATTTGTCAATTGAAATTTTTTTGTTTTCAATAACCTCTGTTACTTTCTTTGCTATCGGAAACGAATTATAATGACGAGGAATTTGATTTAAATCATATCAAAGATGGAGTACATTGAGATGAAATACTACATTTAATAAGGAATTATAAGCCAAATAAAATAAAAACATCTACCCTGAAGATAAGGATAGTGCTGACAGATCAACTCACGATTCATTGCGCAGCGCCCCATCGTTAAAGATCAACAAAGTTTAGATAAACAATTGTTAAAGTTTAGATAAACAAAGGATATGCCTTTATCCATTTTGTAGCAATTCCACTTTTTGTTTAATGAACTTCGAAACATACTTTCGCTTTGTAGATCATTTACATATTAATAAATATATATCAGAAATTCTATTTGATATAATCGAAAGTTCAAGCTTACTTTTATAAAATTGCTCTAACAGTCTGCAAAAAATAATAAGCCGGATCCAATTCGAAGATTAAGGAACAACGCAATCTGCAACATTAACTGAAATAGATAATTAAATAATTTTAGCTTACCTTATACCGTCCATTATACATTAAACGCGCACTCGTAAACGTATTTTGCACACGCGCACAAGCATATTCTCAGCCACGAAGGCCTTAGCTTCAAACTTTCTGTGCATGCGTCAACACGACGCATGCGCAGAAAGTTTGAAGTTTGAAGCTTTGAGGTCCGGATTATAGATCATTCTGGATTATGGGTGTCCAAATTAACGACTTTTGACTGTATTGAACTCTCATTTATTTTAAAAAACTGATGTGATCTGTCTAATCAAATAGCATGATGTTAATTACTATAATCCAGTGATATATTCTTTCAAAATTCGTATTATGTAACACTATGCAGTTAGTTATGGAACCCATAGAGGACAATAAATTTGTTGTAACTGCTTGCTAATTTTATATTATATTCCATGATATCTAATATCTAAAACAGAATGTAATCCATACTAGTAAACGAACAGCAATAACACAAGCAATTATAACAAAATATTTCTGAATTGAATAGAATAAGATTTGAAGAGCACTACACAATAGAGTAAATAATAAGTAATCGCCTGAAGGAAATAATTTTTTCTCCTTGTATTCTTTCATCGGAAGTGAAGAAGCAGCACAACACAAGAAAAGGTCAATGTGCTGCCATGTGTAAATCATAATTACAATCAGAAGTTCCTTCAACACTATACTGTTGGTTTCAATTAGAGCAAGCTTTTAATTGATCTATGATTTGATGCAACAATCCCCTTCTTTTATTTAATTACTATCCATCTCAAGCATTAACACTCCCATTCTTACACCATACAAGAATATTCACCAATTTTATATCTCATTATTATTTGTAAAGAACTTATATATTTTCAGTATATTCTTGCTACAGCAGTTCAGATTACTTGTTGCTTCAAACAAAGAATGTCTCTTTTCATCCTCCTGGCTTTCCACAGTCAAATTATGATAAATTATATATATGACCTGTATCTTTAAAATATATACTGAAGCACTATTGATACTATCTGTACCTTTATATCATGGCTGTACCCATTTATATGTATGCAGAAGCAGCCATGAACTTTAAATAAAACTGCACAATGTTTCAGCAGTTCAGGCTAATGACAGATTTCAAAGACAAGACAAAACCTGCCCTTTAGGAAACAGCATTGAAAACAACTTTCATTTCAGTAAATATATGAGAAATAAAAATAAAAGGAAACAAAACTAAATTAAGAAATGTTATGTTGATTTCAAAACAGATTGCATTTTTACCAAATTAAATTTTTGTCCCAGACTATGCATACTTAGAAGAAAAAATATTAGGATAAGTCTCTGAAATCAGAAAGTAATCAGTATACGATTTCAAAACCAAGACACAATGTAAAATTATTAAATGACTATTATTATCACTCTGAAATGAACCCAGATTTACTGCTTTAATTTTCTCTGTTATTCATTTTAAAAATTATATATAAAACAAATATTTACTCAGTAAAAAATAACATATGGTCAGTACTGCATGCTTTTATATGGCCAGGCAAAAATGTTCTGAATGTGATGAAACTTCATGTTAAGAGAATAAATCATGTAACTGTTTTCTAGCATGAAAATGCTGCCTTACCTAAAGATATGTGATTTCAAATAACAGGAAAGGGAGAAAAGTATATGTAAAATAAAATGTAATGATTCTTTTATAATAAATAAAGTTGAATATTAAATACATTCCATGTGAAGTTAATAAATTATATTTTAATTATATATAACCAGCATTAAAATTTTACACCAATACAATGAAAAAAAAAATCTGATGTGGATACCACATGACTTCCTTGTACAGCCTATTAAATTATGCACACTTTTTGCTGCATTTCCTTTAAAATTATTTCCTGAATTTCATTAGAGATATAATTCTCATTCAGATAATTCGGTTTTTACTTCACAGCAAGAAGAAAATACATTAAAACTCAAAATATCTTCATTAAAAATTGTAAAATATAAAACATAAAAACCTAAAATATCAAACAGAGTTAAAATCTATTAAAAAGCAATTTTTACAATTAAAATTAGACTTTAAATTAATTAAAATTAGACAGAAAGACAGATTTTTCGATGCACAAAACTTTTGGCCCCCTTCAGCTAAAAGACACTGTAGTAGAAACTGACTTAAATTACCATACTACTCAGTTTCAAATGTAAACAAATGGCTTAGTGGAACTTAAACAACTTTTAAACTGTTGATAATTCTATAACTATTGCATACAGAATAACTAAAGGCATAAAAACCTTAACCAGAACATAAGAACAATATATAATTCAATCACTTTTAAAGAAAAAATGCACAATTTACTGACATATATGAATAAAAATCTTAACTCACCGAGCCAGGTAGCAGAGGTGGGTACATATATATATATATACATATATTTATATATTTTTGGTGTGGCCAACTAGGGACACAACCAAACAGGGAGGTGCACATCTACACATTAGGGCAGTCCCATAAACAAAATTTCAATGTTCTGAGGCTACTTGTTTTTGAGTTACACGAGATACATACACATATGCTCGTACAAATGTCACGAAAAAGTCTTTTCTGAATCCATTTTAAATCGATTTCACAATCCGTTTTGGGAAAAAAACTCCTTATATTCTGTCCGTATGTGCAGATGTAATGCCAAAAACATTGTTCAAATGAATCAAGAGCCATCAAAATGGATATTTTTGTTAAAATACAATACCTGAAATTTTTTACGATTACAATACTCCTTTACTTCGTACAAGGAAGTACAAATTGCTTCTTTCTAACACTTAAAATTCTACTACAGTACTTCCTTTTACCCCTATTTGTTCCAGTTTCAGTTTTTAACATTTTCAGAAAATAATCCATTTCATGAAAAAAAAAAAAAAAACTTCAGTTTTTTGAAATATGCCTTTAAATAGTTCTTTTATATAAAGTTTTCACAAAGGATCATTACAGATCATGTATTATTCCTTCTTAATCCAAACAAATAGCAACATTTTTTTGCTTGACCCATAATGTGTTATGAAGAAAAAAATAGCATTATATACAGCATTTAAATAAAAGTGTTACGTAATTGTAAAAGTTACGCATAGCAACTTGGATATCAAAATAAAACCAGTCACTGGTATTACCTAAGCTAACACATTCATTGTATAATGTTTTTCATGTCTATTACATAATAAAAGTACATTTAAAAATGAATCAGTCAAAAATTATAAAACATTCAACATTAAAATTAAAACTAAAATAGAACACTTACTTGTAAATGAAGCGTTGCTTCAAATAACTGTTCTTTCAATATTCCTTGAACACACTTTCTTTGATTCTCAATGCAATCAAACTCAATTTTAATATCATTTTGCTGTTTTAAGAGATTTTCACATTGTTCAAGTGTAGATTTCAGCCAAAAACTTCCTAACATCCCACTAAAAAATAAAGCCTGATATGGCAATGGCAACACATCAGACTTCAAGAAGTTATATGCAATCATGTTGTCTACAGTTGTAGTCATATCTGATTGTAATCTAAAAATATGTAAGAAACAATAGTACACTATAATCTCTGATAAAAATATGAAGTAATGAAATAAAAATACTAAAAAGTTTTAAGAACTTAAAAATTAAATATAACATGACAAATTTAAGAAACATAATGTGATACATAATGTGATAGTTGTGACAAAAAACATAATGTGATAGTTCAAATAGTTCACGCCCTGCAGATTAGGCAAAAAGAATATTAGAAAAATAGAATATAATTTATCAAACTCTGCTAAAATTGCCTAATTTTCCTATTTTTATTTATTCATTATTTTTTTAAAGTGTAAAATCAGGCAAAACCTTATTACAAAAAGAATTAAATTTAGAAAAAAATTTTGAGGTTTTGTTCAAACATAGTATATATTTTGATAGATAATTATGCATAAATTAGATAAATTTTCAGCCTTAAAAGCAAGAACTCCTTTGATGTTCCTTTTCCTTGAAAGGCAATGTAAAACACTAGTTAAAAAAAATAAATAATTTTAAAAGAATCAACTTCTAAATCAACTTCACTCCTTTTTCAAAAAAAAAAAAAAATAAATAAATAAATAAAAAAAAAAAAAAAAAAAAAAAACTTCTAAAAATAGTAGGAGAAACAGAAATACAAGTAGAAGGCTAGATATTAAGGAGGTTTAAAGATTTAAAAGAAATACATAGTCCACTTTGCATAACTTGGACAAATGTTCACACAAATAGCAAATCTTAAAAGAAATGAATAAATCAATTTCACAATGATTTTTAGAAACAAATGTGCTTATATTAGTAAGAAGAACAAATATCAAGGAAATTTAGAGTGTTTAAAACAAATATATTGTCCACTTTGCATAATTTGGATAAATGCTCTCATATAAGGAAAATTTTAAAAGAAATCATAATGATTTTTAGAAACAAAAATGCTTATATTAGTAAAGAGCTAGACAGATATCAAGGAAGTTTAAAGTATTTTGAAACAAATACATTCTCCATTCTGTATAATTTGGGCAAATGTTCACACATACAGAAATCAGAAGCATCTTAGAGCTCCATTAAAAAAGTGTAATTTATTTGAAGAAAACATACCTTTCAACAAAATCTAAGTATATCTTGTTCAAGTATTCATTTTCATTTTTGAAACACTCATTTCTCTTAGAAACTTCTCGTACTAACTTTGCTAACTTCAATTCCAGAAGTTTAACTTCACTTGAATATTTTTCTGCTTCACTCAGCTGCTGCTCTGTTGAAAAATAAAGTAGCAATACACGAAAAGAGGAGAATAATATAATTTTGTAACTACTGCCAAATTAAAGTTAAAACTAAACATTATGTAACACAATCAGCTCAAATAAATCTCTCTGAACACTCTCATCAGTTTCAATTTATAGCATGTATGTTCACTTTGCTCCTCAGTAAAACGCATACTGCAATTAAACTGATAAATTGTTTTTAATAAAGAAATGTTAAATTAATTAAAAATCTGTTTCAAACAAACAAGTGATGAAGAAACTTAAATTATGTTTTAAACAAACATGTGATAGAGATGTAGCAATTTGGAATGCTCAAAATAAATATTATATTCTTTTTATTCCTTACAGTTACTTATACTGAATCTTTAATTTGTCCACTACTCTCTTTTTAAATTTTTTACTTTTTTTGGAAGGAAGGGGCAGGAGATAATTACTTTTAATACAAAATATGGATTCTTTTCAATGAATTAAAACTAATTTATTAACTACAGCAAATTTAGGCTATAAAAATAACTCATTACTATATTTTGCATGAGCTAAAATTTTTTTTAATAATTTTTAAAAAAAAATTAAATAGTAATAATAAATGGTAAAAAATATAATATTTTTGCAATATAATTTAACAAATATAGTTTAATTATAAATTGTTAAATATTGTTAAATAATAACTAATGAATAAACATATAAAATTTTCCTACTATAGTTTATAATTCATGTGACCCCAAAAAAAGGACTATGTATTCATTTACTTACTCACAGTACTATTTAATAAATTAAACAGAAATATTATAATTGGTTCTCACATAGAAAAACAGTGAACTTATTTATGACTAGGCTTAATTTGACAGTAAGTGTCGTAATCTGTCAGTGCAGTTGATCCCACTCCTGCAGCAATGTTTTTCTTACAGAGGGATGCAAGATGAAATTGTTCTCCCAAGAGCATCCTAGACATGCCATATAGGGTTAAGGTCAGGAGATATGGCTGGCCCCTTGGAGCAAATATTCTCATTTTCCAGGTAATCATTGATCAGCTGATCCCTTTGTGAACGAGTGTTGTCATCAATTAACAGGAACCTAGGACCAATAACACCTCAGAAAACTGCCAAATAACAATTCTCATTCATCATTATGGATGTGAGTCAACCTCATCCAGGTCTTCGCAGTATCGATGCTGTGTCCTGAATCTGTTTCCACAAATTGCAGAGGACAACTAGGCATTGCACTGAGCTCTGTAGCCACTTGTGCTTGTGATTGGCCTGCCTCCAATCTACCAACATTCACCATCTCATTCCCTCACCCATACATTTGTGGCTACTCATTTTACCTGTACCTCATAAAATTAACCCAACTCTTGAGAGAAACATGGAGAATGAGATGAAGGAGTATAAGGACACAAATCGCCAAAACCACCTCATATGCTTATATCCCCTCCACAATCGCAGCTCTACAGATATACACATATATGTTTGTGTATTTAACTCTAAATATTTGCATAATTCTTTGAAGGCATAATTAGTACCTTTGGTTCAATATTTTTCACAAAAATAGACATAATTTGCAAATTTTCTTAATTCTGCACATGAGTGTACTTTTCTAATTTATCAATTTACTTTTCTGTATTAAAAATAGTAGTAACATATTCCTTATCAGCTGCCAAATAGGCATGCCTTAATTTCATTAACTAAAGGGGGAAAAAAGATCCCAAGGTGTAACATATTGGTAATCATTTTCCTGAAGTAGATAATTTAAAAAATAACAAATGCTCAGTAAGTCTTACATAATGCAAGAGATGCATCTATTTATATAATGAATAGAGCAAGAAAAGTGTGAAAGAAAATGCAAAATGAAATTATTTATCCATTAGTATTCATACTGAAACTTTTAGTAACCAATAAGAATAAATAGATACCAGGTTCCTCTCTTAAAAAATGAAGTAACTAGTATAAGATCTTACACCTATCAATTTAGCAGAATACCTTGTCTTTTTTCATTTTCTTGACTGGCTAAGAAAACTGTAGATTTTTAAGCTCCAAAATTTCAACACATATTTCCTTGTATCATAAAGTTGACAGAAGTCATCCCTACCTGTGACAATAAATAATTTGTGTGACAATATGTGCATCCTATATATGGCTGTTACAACAATATGAATTTCAGGAACATTTATAGTTTACAAGGAAATTTATTTTGATTTGCAGAGTATTTTCCTCGAGTTGAATTAAAAGCAGAAACTGATTTCAGTCCTGTAACAGGCATTAATCTTTTCCAAATCTTGCAAGCAACAAAGATATCCAACGCCTCAAGAACTCACTATAATTTTTTTCCATCCATACAAATAAATTTTTACTGACTTATCTTCTGTGTATGTGTGCCTTTTTAATGAATATATGAATGAAATGTGAAATAAAATTTATTGCCTTGTGTTATTAGCAGTTAAATTTCAGATGATAAAGAACGAGTACATGTAAGGAAGATCTAACAAAATGGCTGAAACACAGAGATTTACATCGCAACCTAGAAACGAATCAGAATGTTTCTAAGAAATTAATCAAGTAACTTCCGAGATGTTATAAGAAAAATTATTGTTTTATGCCTGGATATACCAAAGCTTGGCCTGAAATGACTTCTTTCAGGAAAGATCTAATTTTGTATCACCTTATCACAGGAAACTGACCTTTGGTGGAAACTGCAGGTATTTTTAAAGAAATGCAAATAATGTCTTACATTTTGATCTACAGCTAATAACATAAATACTTTGGTACTGTTCTGTTATCAGGACTGGATTTACAAATGAATGGTTTTTAACGACTTTTACTAGGTTTCAAACTTCCTTTCTTCTTTATATACAGTTTTAAAAATCAGCAGCTGAAAGTGCTATTTTTGACTACTTTGGTCATTCGATTTTTAAATTCTTTTTTACTACCTTTTTACATATACACACACATATATATATGATGTACCAGCTTTTGTCCAGAATAAAATAGATTGGTGAAGAAATATAGATGTAGTCGTAGCTTAAATTATCAGACGATAAGTTTAAAAAAAACAGGATCCATTTATTATTGGTCAGGAGAAATAGCAGTTACAAAAATTATATTTCCGGAGTAAATAAAAAAGAATTACTAATAACTTTTTGTATGAAGTTTACTGCATCATTACATTAAAGAAAAGACTTTAAGTTCATTGGCAAATCATCTGTCAAACCTTCTAAAATAATCGATTTATCCAAATTAAGCCGCTTACCCACTTCAATTTTCTTTCGAAAGTAATTTGTGATGTCTTCTCTGGCATTAAATTTTATATATATATTTATAGTACGCCGTCAAAGTCTTTAAGGGACTCGTACACCTTCATAACACCTCAATGATCTATAATCCGGACCTCAAAGCTACAAACTTTCTGCACATGCATAAATGCATAATACCTTTATGCATGTGTATAATACGTTTATGCATGCACATTTAATGTATAACAGATGGTATAAGCTAAGCTAAAATTATCTAATTATCTATTTCTGTTAATGTTGCATATTGCGTTGTTCCTTAATCTTTGAATTGGATCCGGCTTATTATTTTTCGCATACTGTTAGAGCAATTTTATAAAAGTAACCTTGAACTTTCGATTATGTCAAAAAGAATTTCCGATTCTGGAGCTGCCAAAGGATCTACAAAGTGAAAGCATGTTTCGATGTCCATCAAACAAAAAGTGAAATTACTGCAAAAAAATGGATAAAGGCATATCCTTTGTTTCTCTAACCATTCCGAAATCTGTTTATCAATTTCTCGCTGCTCTGCGGGGAAGGGGGGGGACATCGCGGCACACAATGAACTGGAAGTTGATCTGTCAGCACTATCCTTATCTTCGGGCAGATGTTTTTATTTTATTTGGCTTATAATTCCTTACTATATGTAGCATTTCATCTTGATGTACTCTGATATGATTTAAATCAAATTCCTTGTCATTTTAAATATCACGAATACACATCAAATAGTTTTCTGGTTGCAGTTTTCTAATTTCGACTATGCATAATGTATACTTTATGCATGCGCGTGTTGAAAGAAATGTTTAATAAAGTAAACAAATAAATATTAAGCTTTTTTTTTTTTTTTTTTTTGTAAATTTTGATACAATTTAGATCGTAATTGCTCTTTATTTCATAAATTACGGTTTCATATTTTTAATTTTATAATTTCTGCATGCCATCTTACCAGATTTAAACTGATGATCTATAATCCGGAAAAACCGATAATCCGGAATCGCTGAAGTCCTGACGAGTCCGGATTAAAGACCTTTGATACATACCTGCATACATTCATAAATTTTTTAATTTGGTCTCAATAACAGAACAGTACCGATACTTCATGATATCAATTAGATTTTGTAGTTATTATTTTTTTTATTTATCTATTTCTCATGGCACACTACAAGACAACTGAACACAAATAAAACGCAAAACAAAGATGAGAAAAAGTTATATTTTGCAAGTAAAAAAAAAGAAGAAACATTTTGTAAACTAAAAACTGCTTGCCCTTCATGGAAATAGAACTGCAATAAAAATTTCAACTGGCCTGATGAATTGTTTTCTAAGTTTCATATGCAAATATTATTAAATTAAACCCATTTGTTGACTAAAATGATTTAAGAGAAGCAGGATGTTATGTTGTTATTACTATACAAGTATGAGCATGTTATTGGTTCCTTGTTGACAGTTTAATCATTTATTTTCATATGACGGAACTAGGTACATACAGCAATATGATGAAATTTAAAACAAAATATCCTATCTTCAATGGATTGACTTCATCCACAAGGAATTCTTTTAAAAGATATTATCAAGCCACTTGTTGCATGTGCAGTTTCATGCATATGCAACTCACATGTTTCATATATATATAATTCAATTACAGTATTTTGCTTATTATTATTACTTTTCAGACTTAGATGTATCTTCCATATGTAGAATTGATACACCCATGGGCTGTATGGCTATTTACAGCCAATGGCAAAGAACATATTACATATCATTGTATGAAACTTGTTTAACATAAATTTTACTCAATGAAATTAAATACATACATCTGATAAATAATATGCATTTTATATAAATAAAGTGCAACAAAATTTATATAACATAAGGCTTACCTAATCTATGTTCAAGTTCAGTTAATCTCTCAACTCGCTTTCTAGCATCTAAAAAAATTTCCTTTTTCTTTAATAGCTGTTCATAGTAATATTCCATTCCATTTAATTCATTTTCCAAGAGAACTGTTTCAGTAAAAAATTCTTGATAGGCTTTATTTAAAAGGTTCATACTCTCCTTTTTAACTATTTTCTTCTCTTTGTACTTACTATTATAAAAAGTTTCTTCTTCTTCCATACATATACACATTTGTTTTCTCCTGCCAAAACAAAAATTTACAACATACTGAAACCAATTTAGAAACTTACTAGAACCAATTTATACTGAAATAAATTTAGAAATTTAATGTAAAGAGAGCAGAAAAAAATACCCATAGTAAAATTAAGAAATGCTTTTTTTCAATGACAATCAAGCATCAAATTAAAAGTTAAGGAAAAAAATACTAGTCTCAAAGGTTAAAATATATTTGTATTTTTATTAACTGCTCTATGCATTAAAAATACATGAGTGTTTTTTACATACTGTTACATATTCGCAATATTATTGAAAATTTGATATATTTTTACACACTGTTAGTGCTGCACAGTTATCCTTAATTCACAGAATTTTGTAGCTGAGCAGACCATTTTTTAAATTTAAATAAAATCAAGTTAAAGTAATCAAAATTATTCAGCATGTGTGTTATGTTCATAAAAATTTCTTTTTATTCAAGAATTTCTAATTAATACTGTAATCCAAATGTTACAGTCATAATATCTATGACTGTAAGTAAAACGTAAAAGTAATGCTTAAAGAATATGATTCTTCAACCTGCGGTTTGTGGGTCACAAGGGGTCTGCCAAAGATATTTTAGTAGCCCACTAAGCTTTTCTCATTAGTTAGAAATGAAATTGCCAATGCCACTCATATTTTTTGCATTTTCTTTCATTTTCTTCATACAGAAGTCTGCAAGATGTTTAATATTTATCTCATCGAACTCTGCCACCCCATCGCGTTGACTTTCTTGATTAAACTAAACACAAAAGAAACCATGTCTAGAGACTTTCTCATACTTTCATATACATCTTGTCCAAAAGTGTGGAGGGAGGATGGGGAAAAATTAATGGAATTCTGTTTCTCCCAATGCTGCAATCAATTACCAAAGGAATAGGTGGATGTAAGCAGCACAACAGGTTGGTGAAAAGCACAATTTATGAAGTTGATTTAAGCTAGGTTACTCATACCCGTTTCAGATTCTGAAATTCAGAAGTGTGTTGTATGGCAAGCCATGGTAACAAACAAAGAAAAGTTGAAGAAATAAAAGTGGTCATCTCTTTAGTTTTTCATGGAGCACAAGAGTAAGGCAGCGCCCTGCATTTGCAAAGAAAGTGTAGCTGTAATGAAAATATATAACATTAAGAGGCATTATGATACTCACAGTTTCAAACTATTTTGAACGTTAACTTGTCTGGCATGACAGCAGTGAGACACGTAGAAGATTTGGCAAAAGATATATTCAATGAGTTAAAATTCAAATGTAAAGTTTTTGTGTTTTATTCTGTAGTGACGGATGAATCAATGGATGCAGCAGATTCTGCACAAGCAGTCATTTTTAATTGTGGCATTGACAGAAACATCACGATTGTCTGGTAATTAGCCAGTGTTGTTGCACTTAAAGGTACAATATGGCGATCAGATTATTTGTATTCAAATCTGACAAAAAAACCTTGGTTAAATGTAAGTTAGACCTTAGCAATATATCTGCCATAACCACAGATGGTAATCCTTCTATGACTGCACAGAAAACAGGAGTAATAACATTACTTGAATTCAATGCAAAAGCATGTGGAAATAGTACTGTGATAGCCTCCTCTGTATCATTCACCAAGAAAACTTGTGTAAGAAGTCTTTCTCAAACTCTGAACATGTGATGAACGAAAATTTAAATTGATGAATGCAAATGCAAATTTAAATTTGAAATTTAATTTACTTTTTTTTTATTTTTGAAAAATTGGAATAACTTAGAAAAGCTGAATGTGTAGATGTTGATCCATACCTAGAAATACCTGCAGCAATGTAGATGGAATAAGAAGCAGCCATAGCAGATTTAAATATTCATTTTTTATTTTAAATGATACTTTCAGCCACAAAAAACAGTGCATACTAATTGTGCCTGTACTGGAACATTCATGTTTTTGATATTGTTACCATAAAAAAAGAACAGTTTAGCAATTGTGTAGGTTGGCTGAGAAGTAGAAAGCAAGTGCACCATCCAGTATGGAGGCCTGGTTCAAAAGAAGGAAGGTTATAGTTTGCAGTATTCTCATTCGTTATTAAAAGTTTCTATGTTAATTGGTTGACTTTTATTATCCACTCAGCAAAAGACTGAAAGGAGACTTATCCAAATTAAAAAGTAGAGGTAAGGGCTATTGCAAATTTAAGTTAAAATTTTTAATACTCTTTATCTTACATATATAATATTTAAAAAAAAACTGTAAATCAAACTATTAACTTCAATTTGCATTAGTGCCTTAGCTCTCCATTTTAGTTTGGCTATTTCCCGTTTCCATCCTAAAAACAATAACTACTTGCCATAAATCTCTTAAAACTCATTTCAAAATTAATCCACATCATATATTCCAATATAGTGGCAATAATGCAGATACTTACATGAAGTTTCAGCCATTCATAATTTTAGAAAGTTATTATAAATCAATCAAAATAAGGCTAAACCAAAACCAAATCAATCTGAATTAAGATATAATTTTGAGAAAGTCGCTTTTCCCCCTTACTTCCTTTCAGGTAAACTACACGCTCTCTGGTGATACTTTATTTTTAATGCATCAAAATGAACTGCTGTGAAGATGTGAAAAAGGTACAAATGCAATCAAAAATGGTCACAGGTTGCAACCATCAAAATATGTAATTCAAGTTACAAATGCACTTCTCAAGAATAACTAAATATTAAAATCAGTCATGACTACAAACTTCTTATTTACTCATTGGCCGTCATTGTTAACAACTACACCACCATAACCAAATTATTCCATATATATATAAATGTAATAATTTTGCAGATTATTCTACTTTACTTAATAAGTTCATCTACTAAAAACATTTATTTCTCATAATCTTATAAACTTTCAATGCCATGTGATTAATATTTTATGCAATTTACTATAAAAAATTTATAATTGTTAGTAATTATCAGTAAACAATAATAAATAAAGAAGTTACATCTTTAAATATAATTTTAAAACTAATAATACCTTGTCAGTTTAGTCTCCAGTTCATTTATTTTTATTGCATAAATTTCTTTCTCAAGTTCTGACATCAAGCCTTTTGAATCTGTTTCTATTTCATGCTTAGCTTTTGTATCAGAAACTTGGTTTCTCTGCCCTTTCCTACTCATTTGTTTCCGTTTGCTTCCAGTCTGCTTAAGTAACCTTGAAGCTAATAAAAATGCAATATAGTAAATAAGTTATCAAGCATTTTATATATAATAAAATACATAGTTACATATGTAATATTAAAAATATTACTTTCAATATTCTGCTTAATTACTGCTTGTGGCATTTTAATTGTAATATACAACATAATTCTTTTTGTATTATTCTTGTTTAAATATTTATAATAAACAACATTAACTACATAAATAAATTATATATACCTGCTTTTGTTTATTGTATTTATAACATATCAGGTAGGACCTATTAATCACTAGTATTAATGCAGTGATTTACATCCTAGACATGAATTTTCTACATAACCTGAAGCAGGTCTATCAAATATCATTACACTGCTATAGAAGTTAATAACAGCTCCTAAACATATAGCATCTCATGAAGCCAGAAATGGCCATTTATATCATTAATATGAAGGCATAATCAGAAATCTTATTTAATTTTTCTTTTAGTTTGATACATCTGAAAGAGAATGTATGAAATTATATCATGGCACACACACACACATACACAGAAAGAGAGAGAGAGACTAAATAATAAGAACCAAATCCACAAAGACTAGAAAGAAATAACATTTAAAACCAAAAAAAATCCCAAAATTTCTCAATGAAAATGTTAAAAAAAAAAAAAAAAAAAAACTTTTTAAACCAGAAGAAATCCAGAAAACAACAGAAACATATAAGATATTAGCTGATAATTGATTCCTTAATTATCATTGGCAAAACTTTAAAGTAAATTTCCATTCTGCTAAACTTTTCCCAAGAACTTATTAATTTGAATATAATTCAGATAATTTTATATGAAATTGTTATTAAAATATTATACACATACATTAAATAACATATTTACATAGATAGAGAGATTATATGTGTACAGTCATATACTTATCACAGATAGTATTCTAAATAGAGATTTAGTAATTATTTTTAAAAAATTATCGCACATTCATATATTCTACAAAAAAATAATTTTGCACACAAATAATTTTAGAGCAAAAGTGTCAGTGGAATTCCTCTCTATGTGTCTCAAACAGCAACGTTAGACCTAAATTTAGCAATAAAAGATTTTTTCCATTACTGAAATTATTCCGAAGTGGTATCACATGATCCCAAACATACAAAAGCAGATACTATGTATGACCTTTTAGAAAAAGTTAATTCTACTCACACATGTTTAGTAATCGTTAATGTAAGATTATTTCATTTCAAGCCGGTTGAGTTTATTAATATTCAGTCATTTCTTTTCTGAATTTCGAATCTGATAATAGGAATACCTAGCGAAAGTGTCTCACTGCAAAATTTATTAAAGTAAGAGGATATCATAAATTTGCTTAAATTTTTCTGTTTTTTTTCGCCAGGGTATACATTTTTATATTTCCCAAATAAATCATAATTTCTGATATACTGTTCATCATATGAATTTACATACTGTAAAAATAATTAATATTTAACATTTAATTAACTTGTTACATCTAGATACTTTTAAAAACGGAGCTTTTAATTAACCTCCTTGCTTTTAATGCTCAAGCAGACAATGTCGAAATAGCGGTTGCCAAACATGAAATGCCTAAAAATGAAATTTTCAAGAATATTTAATGCAGCGATGTGCGGTACACGGATAGGCAGACGTAAGGCTCCTATATACTATCAGATGGGGACAAAATAGAATGACTTTCTCAACATTTTAAGCCTACGACTACAACTACGACTCGTTATTATTACCCAAACTTTCCCGGCTGCTCGAACTAAAGCCGAAAGGAACATAAACAGTTCTGAGCGTGGGAATCCCTACACAGAAATCGTACACAGAAATCGAGAGAAAGGAAAAGAAACGAGGGGCGACCAGAAGGTCGAAAAGCCAACAACAGAGAATCTGACAAACTTTTCTCAGAACTGGACAAAGAGCAAATATAAAATTCCAACACGATGTATACAGACAACATTATTCCAATCTTATCGTCGGAAGGCTTTAGCTGCACCAAAACGCTTAAAAAGAATAAGATCCCTGGCTTTGACAAGATTATTAACACCATCATAAAGAACTTCCCAATGAAAACAGTGTTCATTTTCACCAAAATCATCAAAGTTATTCTAGAACTGCAGCACTTCCCAACCGTCTGGAAATTTGCCACCAACACTCCGATCCTCTATCCCAAGAAGCCTGTTACAACACCAGAGTTATACACAACAATAAGTCTTCTGTCGTCTGGTAGAAAAAGTGTCGAAGCTGTTCTACTGAAGAGAATAAATATCTACCTGAACGACATCAACATTATTATACCTTACCAGTTCGGTTTTCGAAGAAACCTCTCTACAACCAACCAACTCTGCATAGTAGTTGAGATGATCACCGAAAGATTCTATACCAAGAAGATCATAAAGAGACTATTCCTAGACACAGCTAAAGCTTTCGACCGTGAATGGCTGGATGCACTAATACACAAAATACACAATCTGGGTTTCCCAGATTACAGCCCAAACATAATTAAATCCTACTTGACCGGTAGATACTTTGTCGCTCATGTTTCTGGCATAAATTCCACCCGCTGTACTATATCAGCCGGGGTACTGCAAGGGTCACTTTTGGCCATCCTGTTCACCAAAAAAGGAAAAGTTAAAAAAGAATATCAAATTTTATGGAACAGCTATCCCCTGGGCCAAGCAGATCCCTTATATCGGGGTGATCCTCAGTAATTCTCTCACATGGACCCTACACATTACATCTATTATTCCGAAGTTTCGAGTCCGTAAAGCACAACTTTTCCCCTTAATTGCACGAAACAGCGTTCTATCTATAGACAAGTTACTCATTTACAAGTCCATCTTGCGTGCACTGCTATGTTATGCATGCCCTGTATGGGCCTATTCATGTCGTTCAAACAGGAAAAAGCTCCAGACGGCTCAGAACAGCGCCAAATTACAAACTCTCCATGGTATGTAAGAAACAATAAGATTCCCCAGGAACTGAAATGGAATTATTAAAAACTTGTTATAACTGAATTGCAAGCAACGAACGACAAAAACTCATTGATAACCCTGCTGTCAAAATATCTCAATATGATATTAACAATCCTATGAACTCTAAAAGACCTATGTCAGTTCTGAATATGGACAATGATTAAGTTCCGGCTAATGTATGTGTGTTATATCTGCTAATTTTTGCTGTACCTCTGCTCATTTATTTATTGCATATTCAATATTTTACTGTGGTTACCTTTAATTTAGATATCATATTGTGAGCTATCCTGTACCAGTTTTATATTTAGTTTTATTTAGTCTTGTTTCTCCTTCTATGCACTTACCTTTAAAAAGCATCAAAGTACTCGTACATTACCTATGCTTTTTTATTATGAATTGCATTTATATTAAGCTTTCAGTATCCACACCAGATTGGCGGCTTTCTCGATTAACAGCTTACTACCATACCATACTCATCACAAGTAATTTTCTTTCGCGCTGTTCTTATAAATAATCATCCAAAGCCTTTAAAAGAGTTATATTTTATTTTCATTGTTTGAAGTATTGATTAGAAAAGTCTAATTGTTCGATTAGGGTTGAGGCCTCGTGCCTGGGTACCTTACTTAGTACACCATTAGACAAAGGAGAGACAATGTACAAGATACAACAAGCGATATTTAGACACACGACAGCGAGTCAGTTAAGTTCGGAACAGACGGAAAAGAAAACAGCGGGACACTGGCCATGGGAATGTTACACGAACAATTTCCAGTTACTTTCAACTCTACCATTACACAAAAACTATTAGACCTGCAAATTTGCATGTTCCTCGCACTTGATGTGATACCATAACTCCAGTCAACCGAAATAGCAAAAAATAATTTCAAAAGAGCATATCTTTAGAATGTCCGATACATAGTCTTGCTCGCTAGAGATTTTTTTCAAGCACAGTGTTGCCACTGCTCGCTTTAAAATTGCTGAGTTTGTTAATCGAAAATATTTTAATGCTGGACAAAATATGAAATAGATAGTAAAACAAATTCCAAATCTTGGCTTCCAGATGCCCATGTTCGAATGGAGGACTACGTTATTCAAAATCTGATGTCTCTAGGTATCGCTGTTTTTTAACAATGCGAGAAACATACATATATCCATGCAGATTCTTCATTGTTTAATTTTTTAAAATACAATGCAGGGCTCTAATATGATATGATATGAGGGACGCAGCCCGGCCCTACAGGCAGACTTTACGTCGCCCTATGGCTTTTTTACGCGCTTCGCCAGAGCAAGCTAGAAACAGCATTTTCAACAGACATAAAGAACATAACTAAAAAACTAAATTCAGATTAAAATCCCTACTGCAAGCTTATTATGATTAATCCTCTCCATCATTTTCCTGGAAATTTTTTCAGTCTTTTAAAATCATTTAAAATATCATATATATTAAAAACATCATTTTTGTTAAACTCGTTCCTGATATCAGTAAAATATTTAAATGTTTCCACATAATGCTCTGCAATGCCCGGTTCTTTACAAATATCACAGAGGTCAGACTCTTCTAATTTAAACCTTTTAAAATAGAAAGGAAAAACGGCCATGACCTGTAATGATTTGGTTAACGTCAATGTTTCAATAACATAAACCTTTTTTAAGTTTAACAAATTTCATATAACCTTTATTTCGATCAGACCTTTCCCACTATTCCCTCCATTTATCATAAATATAATTTTTCACAATAGTCACAGCTTTTCTTGTTGATCCCTGTACATCAGTATCACGAGCATTAACATCGGTAATTGCCTCCTTGGCCAGTGCATCCGGCCTCTCATTTCAAAATTTCCACCGTGTGCCTTCACCCAATTTTAAACACAATATTTTGATCTTCTCTCAAGTATTTATATAATTCTCTAATATACACTATTAAAGGGTTGTCTTGATCAAGTCGTGAGAGAGCTTGAAGAACTGTCAGACTGTCAGAATAAATATGTATATCATATTTCCCTTTAAGAGTCTTCTTAGTCCAATTCAGTGAATAAAAAATAGCCATAGCTTCCGCTTGATAAACTGAGTGATAAATATTGAGTTTAAATTTATTATTCTCAATCTCTGTTCCATAATAATATATAACATATGCGAAAGCAATGGTGTCTTCCAGACCTGACCCGTCTGTATAAATGCGAATTTCTCCTCATTTTGGAGCATCCAAATAATACGGAATAAAAATGTGGCAACAATTTCAAAAGTGAACCGATGTAAAATGCCAAAACGAAATTAATAGCCCTTCTGGGCAAATTGCTCTTTTAGGCTAAAGAAAAGGAAACGTGAATCTATACTTTAAAACAGGGCTTCTAAAACGTTTTCCAGTCGCAACCTCTTTCATCACTAGGATTTTTTTCGCGATCCCAGGGCCCCTATAACATTTATGAAAATCTTATAGGACCCCATAAGCATTGCGCAAATCCGACACATACGTGAGTGAAACTGTCAAATTTTTCACTTGTCCTGTAATATACTGTTGCAGTTTTAGGTCATAAACTTTACTTTCTAATTTTAAGACATAGAACAATGTGACAATTTTAAATAAGTAACAGACGTCAACAGACGAGTAACAGAAATAAGTAACAGACGTCACGTGCAAAGCTAGTAAAATGAGCGTTTATATTATAAAAAGAATGCCTCGAAAAGTTTTCTTTTTTTTTTTTTTTTTTTCTTGGTCTGTATTGTCTTATCTTTATCTATTTACAGATACATTGTGTAAAAATATTTGGTAACTGTAAAATTATTATAAGTTAAAGAAATATCACAACTGCTAAAAGTTTTGGGGACTCCCAGCTGGGGGTCGCGACCCACAGCTGGGAGTACACTGCTTTGCACTCTGCTTTAAAATAAGATTTAAACATTTATATTGTTAATAATTAATAATAGATGTTTAAACTTATTGTTTACATTTTTACGTCCTTTTAAAAGTCTAAAAATTTAAAAAACTACACTGGTTATAAATTAAGGAAAAATCACAAAACTCACGATTACTGAAAAAGTTACATGTAGAATTTTATGAAACGTACCCTCAATATACAACACATAGTAAGGTATCAAATAACATAAAAAGTAATTACCAGGCAATAATGGTAGTATAGAAATTAGCACATGTATAAAATGAACTATATCGAAGGTGTCAGTTTGCTATAGGAAAAGTACCTTCAATATGGAATATGGTCACTTCTAAAAGCAATACAGCTCATACAGCGATGTGTGATGCTTTCTTTTATACGCTCTATCAGTTCCATAGGAAGCGAGAGCCATTACTCTTGCAAAGCAGTTGCAAGCGCGGCAAGGGTCTGAGGGGGCGGATTGAGAGCAGCTAGACGTCTCCCTAAAGCATCCCAAACGTAATCGATAGGATTCAAGTCAGGGGATCGAGCTGGCCACTCCACGCGCAGAATTGTTTCTTGTTGAAGATAATCATCTATGATGCCAGCCCTGTGTGGTCTTGCGTTGTCGTCCTGTAACAGGAAAGCATCACATATTGCCCCGGCATATGGGCGCGCATAAGCATGAAGGATGTCATCTCTATAAACTGAAGCATTCA